AAAAATGCTGTAAACCATATATATTTTTTCAGTTAAATTTTATGTTTATGAAATTCTAATTCATTATTGCACTTGTTTAATTTGCCTTATTGACTTTTTTGTATAATGTAATGAGAATTTGGGGGTGATTGAGGGTTAATTGTCATGAATGTAATACAATGCAAAATATTATTTGTTTCTTTTGATTTTGAAATGATCTGTGAACAACTTTAGATCAGAGTCACCTGGTTAATAAGATTATTCAAGAAAAATATTTAATAGACGCAGTGATTTCTGGATTGAGACATTTTTCCGTTACCCTTTTGTGCTTGTCAGGAAATTAATTCAGATTTAGATTTACAGTATTCTGGCGTATTACAGACAAACGTTCATAACCAATGCAAACGGTCTTAAAGGTACAGTAGCTAAAACAGCCAGTTTAATTGATAACAGGTCAGCGTGAGGGTAAACGCTCATGAATTACGAGCAGGAAACGTTGACTAGCATAATTACCGTGGAAGAGAAAGAGTGTGTTTGACGTGAGTGCTAATGACACAGGATGAAGTGTGTCAGAGGCCACAGAAGCTGATGAAAAGAGGTTTGAGGTTCATGCCAAACTTTGCAATTAAGAGAATGTTCCCCTCGGTGCTGTTTATATTAAACTGTGCAGATCTGATTTTAATGATGGTGAGGATGGGCCGTGTGAAAACATGGCAGACAGATCGCTTACACATCCTGAACAGAGAGCCCAGGCCCGTTCATGAACCCGACGTCAACACCACTTCCAGATTCGACAGAAATACTGTAGAATTTCTTTTAAAATCAACTTCTTTTGGCCAAATTCTAGGGCAGCTTTGCATGGCACTCCCAGAATGCACTGCAACAAGCTCAGGTGAACAAAATGAGAGAAATATTGTTATAAATATCCTTGTAATTCATTCAGTACTGAAAGTATAGAATGAAAATAATTTAATTATGTATTTAAACCAGTGTTTTTAGGATTATGTATATACTTTCTTGTATTTATTTTGAATTTGTTTTTATAGAATTCATTTTCATTGTAGATTTTTTTATTTAATATTGTTTTTAGTAATTTTAGTTGTTTTTAGTAATTGTTTTTAGTAATTTAATACATTTCTTTACAATCATTTTGGTTTATTTTTTATGTTTTTCAAATTTTTCAGATTTGCTTAAAAAATATTTTAGTTTTAGTAACTGCATTTTTTTTTTATTTCAGTTAGTTGCAGGCAACATTTTTTATTTTTGCTCCAGTTTTTACAGCTTTATTTCAGTTTATTTTTGTAGCTTTAGTTGACAATAACAACATTGATAAGTCCTTGTGTGTCTGTGAATTTAAGTTTTAATTATATAAGTTTAATAAGTTTGATCAGTTTTTAAATATTGATGTTTAATTGTATATTTTATTATTGTTAATAACCAATGACAAGACACATGGCAGGATCACATGACAATCAGGGAATCACATGACAACATAACAACAACAAGAACAAGAAAACCCAAAACGTGACAATATCTTTACAGTCTGTGAGTTTTTCCTCCACTTCTGCTGCAGTTATAAACACCAAAATTTACAGAATTATTCATGACTATATTCTGAAGGATTTTACTGAAGGGTTTGTTCATATATCACTCACACTGATTTTTATCATATTTTATTCCTTAAAACTTTTTCAGACTGTTGACAGTATTTTCTGATTATTTAAGGCAAGACTCTAAGCCATTGTTTTTCATGCACTGGTCAATTTTGAGTTTATTGGATATTTTGCTTTGCTTTTGTCTCCTTTCAGATTAGTGGAAGAAAACATCCAAAAGACACATTTACATGTTTATTTTATTACACTTTCTATAAGCGTCTGTAGTTTTTAATTACACTACATATCTTTAAAGAGTTTTTCCTCCACTTCTGCTGCAGTTATAAACACCAAAATTTACAGATTTATTCCTGTCTATATTCTGAAGGATTTTACTGAAGGGTTTGTTCATATTTCACTCACACTTATTTATATAACATCTTGACACTAGAAATGTGTTTTGTCATTTAAACACCTTTATAATGATCGTGTTAGTTGATCTATGACATGTTAGTAGTTTCAGAGTTCGCATTGGATGAATTTCTGTAATTTTATAGATTTCTCCCAAAATGCATAAAAGTAAGTGGCTGGTGATCTGGGAGAAGAACTTTATAGGATCCTAGTCAAATTATAATGAAAATGATTATTGTTGCAGCTTCCATCAGTGTATGGAGCTGAATGAAATGTGTTTTTTCTGTTAGTGTGAGACGTGTTGGGCTCATGTATGGTGTGTGTTTTTTGTTTTAGGGCCCGAGAGGAGCCGACGGCCCTCCAGGAGAACCAGGCCCCGAGGGCGTGAAGGTATATCACCATATATACTATTACAATACAAGAACCCTTAATGCTAAAATATTTCTATACGAGTAGAAATGTTTGAAATGACTGCATAACACGTTCATGTTTAACAGGTTATTTCGTCTTTTTCTAGTAAAAAAGTTTGCGATTTAATCAGAACTAAAAAGGAATTCAAACTAAATTCATAAAATGATTGGGAACCACTTAAAGGCTCTATATATGAAGGGTTTATATGGACCGGTATCTTCTTTCTTCTTATTATATTCACACATTGACTGTTATATAAAAGCTAAACTCTTTTATTCTGGGAAAACATTGTGATGCCATCATGTACTGTATGTCCTGATGAAAGGGAACTATATCACCCAGGATAGAGAACTGGCCGTTCACTCCGTCTCGTCTCCAACCCTTAAGCAGTTCTGCTGATTTGCATTAGAAAGCAGTGAATGATCATGATGCTCACACACACACGTCACACACTCCTGACGGCCCGACTGCTTTTATATTTCAGGGTGAAAAGGGTTCTGGAGGGAAGAGCGGAGATCCGGGATTCATCGTAAGCACCTCTGCGTTTAGTTTATAGATAAAGTGAGATCAAATCTTCATCTCATCTCAAGTGGGAAAACTGTTCATCCTTCAATGAAATATCTGTAGTCATCATAACTAGCTTTATATGAAGACAATCATCATACATGAGATGATCATAGATGTGCTAGATCTACTGTTTTTTTTGCAGATAAGACAGTCACACACACACACACACACACACACACACACACTCTAAACAATGCTGGGTTGTTTTAACCCTAATTTGGGTCAAATATGGACAAACCCAAATGTTGGGTTAAAAATGTAACTTAGAATCTTCTAACTGTATTTTTTTAATTAAATTTTTAACCCAAATTTGGGTTTGTCCATATTTGACCCAAATTTGCATTGAAACAACCCAGCATTTTTTAGAGTGCAGAAATTATTTTCGTTAATTGAAATAAAGATAAAATAACATGCATAGTTGTAAAAAAATGTAGAAAAAATGAACATATGTTTATTCAAATTTAAACTAAATCTAAAATGGAAACTTAAAAAAAATTAAATACTATAAATGGTTTAAACTAAAATTAAATAAATGGTTGTTTATTAGACTAATTAAAAAACTACAGACCTGGGTTGTTATAATTAACTACTAAAAAAAAAATGAATTCAAACAGAAAAACGTAAATTTATTTTATTTCAGCTAGTTACTAAGGCAGCATTATTTTTAATGTAGATTTTAATTTAGTTTAACTTGATCTACTAGAATAACAAAAACTGAAATAAACAAAAAAAAAAATTACATAAAACTATATGCACATGTAACAATTGAATTTAAATAAAAAACAAAAACATAAAACAAAATTACTAATCTTTAACACAAGCCACTTTCAGGAGTGAATAAAGACATTTCGCCCTTTTGGACCATCAAATCTGTTTAAAGATATATGCAATATGATTTAGGGGATGATTTAGAACATTTCTGGGGTAATATTTCTACAGTTTTATTCCCAAAAGCACAGCTAGTTACAAAAAATACTAAAACACACACAATGTGCAGCTGAGGATCAGAGAGACATGACGCTGACATCACTCATCAGTTATTAAAGCTCTGAGATCCATTACTCTGGTCTGATGTAGGAGACCTCTGCAAGCTGAAGGTTAATGATCGTGTGTGTGTGTGTGTGTGTGTGTTTGCAGGGTAAAGCTGGAGGTCCAGGGAAGAGAGGAGCAGCAGGACCCTCTGTAAGTCTCTCTCTCTCTCTCTCTCTCTCTCTCTCTCGCAGCGGTTCCTGACGCTCTGAACTACATCGTTAAACTCTAATCATGGCCAAAATGACATTAACTGAGATTTTTAGTTGTGTCATGTTGTTCTTACGGACATTAATGAGTCCAGATATGAGATAATAACTGATATTTTAATTTAAAAATAGTCAAATGTGTTTAAATGTCAAAATACTATTGATTTTGTTTAAATAAATACTATTATTTTTTATAATACTTAAAAATATTAAAATAATCATGATGAATAGTAAACTATGTGGCCAAAAAAAATGTTTTTTTTATAATTATTTTCTTCTTATTATCATATTAAAATAGTAAAATAGGCCAAAAATACAATTGTTTTAATCATCAAATGTATAAAAATTAAAATATGTTGTAAAAAATGTTATTTTTCTTTAAAGAAATACTATTTTTTAATGCTCAAAAGTATGAAAATAATCACATTAAAACTGTTGCCAAAAATACAATTGTTTTCTTTTAATACTTAAATGTATTGATATTGTCATATAAAATTGTAAAAAAAAGTTACCAATATACTTTTATTTAACGTGCAAAAGTATTAAACTAATCATAAAGCAAATATTAAAATATAATATTTTTGTAATATTTCCTGTGAATACTGAAGAGTATTGATATAATGTTCAAGGATACACTCCTCGAGAGCTTGCGTGTGACGTCACAGATCGGTGTGTTTCCTCTGTCTGGGTGTCAGGATGTGTGAAGTGTGTGTGAAGTGTGTGTCGGAGTGTTTATAATTCAAGCCTGAGGGGTTTTACTCGCTCATGAGCTCACAGCGTCCTCTAGTGGCAGCTCTCTCTCTCACACACACACACACACATCTCACTGTCAGTGTTGTTTTACGAGTTTTGCCGGTGATGTTACACAGGCTCTTAAAGCGCAGTAAAGCGGTGTAAACTGCAGGGTTCTCCAAAAACACAGTAAAAACAGTGAAATATTTATTCCAGAGTAAATCATCTGTTTTTTATGTGAATATACAGTAAAACCCAACAAGTTAAGCTAACTCATTTCATTTGAGGAAACCGATTGCCTCATTTCATTGAAGTTTTTGAAAAAAATAGTTATGAGTACTCTGAACTTATTTTATTTGAGTTCAATAAAACAATAATATTTCTTAAACCACAGATAAAACTTTACACTGCATTTAATACTGTATATAGCTGAAACTTCACTTTACTGAGTAAAAACAGTGTACAGCAGTGTCATTTATTTTTATTTGTACTTATGTTTTAATTGTCATAAACTTGAAATGTTTGAGTACACTAATCATACATTTCACTTAAAACGTTCATGTAATCTCAATGTGAACACTTTTATTAGTATAAACAAGCTAGTTTGCTTACGTACTAATATGTTAAACGTGACTTTAAATGAAAATTCTATAATCCAAGATTACCGCCACCATATGACGTCACAATATGCAAATTATATGGGAAAATGTTATCCCTACATACACTTTGGGTTATCCTTAATATTTTTCTAATTTACAGAATGTCTCTATCTTTCATCACTTTTAAGATATAGCCTTTTGAAATTAAGACGTCAAAATCGAACGTTTTAGGAAAAAACCTCTGGCGCCTAAAGGGTTAACATGCTAACAAATAATAATGTCATACAGCAGCACTTTACAGAAATTCTTCTAAATTAGCATTATAAAACACTAATCACCATAAATCTCCCACCAAAAAAAACATTCATTACTCTAATTAGTTTAATTTGAGTTTGTCCAACTCAAACCAATTCGTTATTTTGAGCGTTAGGGTTTACAGTTCATTCCCATCATAGAAACAAACACAAACTTATCGTTCCCTTATCGTCTACATATATGCATGTAATTAATCAATACAGATCTAACTTTCTTTTCTTTATTATTGCAAAACAATACGGTGAGGATAGAAAGGACCACGAATGAACAATTTATTCCCACCAATTATTAATAAAGGGTTCCCTCGTCTTACTTGATCATGGTGAAATCTAAACCAGGGAACGAATTAGTTAAATTAAGTAACAAATTACTACACTGGAAAAGGTTTTCCTTTACGTTTTTCATGTAATGACGACAAAACATTGTCAAATCGATCTTTTTTTGTGGTTTACACAGAGACGATAATGGTATCGTTTTCAAAAGGTCGCATTTTCAGGCGCTGTCGTGTAAATCAACGCCTAACTTATAAAAAAGTTTTCTGTTTTTAGTTGAAAATACTGTCATGTAATTGTGCGTAGTAAAAGTGATTTAGTATTATTATAATGTGGCCACAATTTAGTAAAACGAGGGAACAAATTGTTATCACAACATAGCCACAATTTAACAAAATGAGCGAACAAATTATACAGTGCGCACAATTTACTTTTTACTTAAAACAAAGAAACGAATTATTACAATGTGGCCAAAATTTAATAAAACGAGCAAACTAATTATAACAATGTGGCTGAAATTTTGTCAAATGAGGAAACAAATTTCTATATCGTGCACATGATTTACTTAAAACGAGGAAAGGAATTATTACGATGTGGCCATGGTTTAGTAAAACAAGAGAATTAAGTATTATTTAGCATATTTTGTCATTTTTATCAAGTACTATTTCTTTTTTAAAATATGTAAATAGTTTGAATTCATTTTTATATGAGTTGTTTTAGTACATCTTCAAGCTAAATGTAAATGAGAAATGTTTCTTTGAAAACTAGCTGGAATAAAATAAGTTTAAGATTTATTTTATTTCAGTTAACTCTTATTTTTAATAAAGGGAAATGTCTGTTAATGGTTTTAGTGTTAGTGTCAGTCGGCGGATGTAACCCTGTCCTGGGGTGTGTTGTGTTCTGCAGGGTAAAGCAGGTCCGCCCGGCGGCGCGGGTGAACAAGGCCCTCCTGGTGAACCTGTGAGTATTACAACACATCCATGTGTGCATTCTCAAAAGTTAAACAGTTGCAAAAAACACACACAAAAAGTGTGTTTTACATTATAGAGAATTAAAAAGACTTCTGTATGGCACATATAGTGCTGGCTCAGTGCTATTTAGTATTATATTATTATATATATATATATATATATATATATATATATATATATATATATATATATATATATATTGTTATTGTTATTGTGTTTGTTAAAATTCAGAATTAGCTTTATTTGAATATTTTTAGTTTTAACTTTATTTTTTTATTTAAAGTTTTAGTAATTTTGTTAAGTGGTTTTATTATATATATATATATATATATATATATATATAGTTACTAAAACTGAAATAAAAATGAATAAAATAATAACTTTAATTTTAACTTTAATAACTTAATAACTTACTATTCAAATAAACTTATTTTAAGTTGCCAAATTGTAAAAATTTCTTAGGTTTTTTTTCATTTAAGTTTTTCATCTAATATTTTAATTTAATGATTTAATTCAGCTTCATTTTAATTAGCTACATTTTTAATAGTTTTAGTTTAAGTTTCATCGCTGACCTGTTTTTAAAAACTATTTCTTTATTTTTCTTTATTTTTTTTCAGTTAACAAGTATAATTTTAGTATTTTAACTTAATCTTGTTTTATTTATTTGTTTTTTATTTAAATTTTTCATTAAATATTTAAATTATACTTTATTTTAGCTTTTATTTCAATTGATGAGAAATGTGATTGTTTGATCAAGTTCACCGCATGTTGTATTTAAATAAAACACAAAGGTTTGGGCTTAAAAATAGTGCATGCTGAAGTGCCAAAAAATACTTTCTCAAACTAAATGAAATAAAGGTCAAAAACTGCACAAACTGAAGGATGTTCATCTGCATCACACATTGTTGTTTATATGTGCTAAACTTTGAGAAATGTAATGTGTATTGTTGCATCTTTCTTGTGTAATACAACACAAGTCATGATGTGAAGGCCTCAGAGGCTTCGTTTAGCTTCTCCACACGGCATTTCCAGCATTGAGCGTGAGTTAGGGTTAGGGTTTCGTCTAATTACGTCTAAACATGTCATCAGCCGCTCTGACAGCAGATGAAAGACTTTTAACAGCATCTCTCAACACCAAGAGCGACACGTGTAAATCTGATTTATATGACCAGAACAAGACCGAGCAGGACTGTTTATGGCAAATCCACGTTTGTTTTGGGGAAATTATGCATGATTTCATATTTATTTCATATTTATTTTTAATGCAACTCTTTGGTTTTGATCGTTTAGGGGTCCAGAGGCCCTCCGGGGGACGCGGGACCAGATGGAGAGCAAGGTCTCGAGGTATTTCCTAAAATAAACGAATAGACGTGTATTATAGAGTTCTCCTGCATCCAATTATGTAGTAAAATGTCCATTTGAAAATTAAATGAGGGATAATACTGTACAATTACAGTTACATATTACAGTTAAATTCAATAGATTACATAATATAGGCACTCTATGGAGTCGAACACAACACATTACACTGCAGAAAATTGATGGTAGCACAATTTGATTATTTTTAGAAATTTAATTATAGGATATTTTATTGAGCTTGGGTCCGAAACATGACCTTAAGTTCTCGTCGTCTTGTGATTTTCCCTCTTTTGTGCGTGCTCAGGGACCTCCAGGACCTGAGGGAGAGCAGGGGCCCGTGGGTGAACCTGGACTCAAGGTGAGACAGACCATCCTGAAAAAATGACCAATTTATATACTTCCGTTGAACGCAAAAGGAGACTTTGTTCCAGCTGCTGTGGGATCAGACGAGCTTTAATAATAATAACAGTATCAGCATTGAGATCTATTGGCATTTGGCGACTGTCTTTCTATCTTTTTCCAGGGTGAAATGGGGCCTGTTGGAGAAGAAGGTGAACTGGGCCAACTGGGCATCCGAGTGAGTCTAAAACCCCACACCGACTCCTGAATGTCCCAGTGAACGGGATCCATCAGTGTGTTTTTATTGCTTTAACTGACGTGAGCCAAACAGTGTCAATAATCTGACAGACGGACCCTCGGGCTCGCACACACTGAACGTCTTTGTCTCCGGTTACTCAATTATTCAAGCAAATCCTCGTGTTTGTTATTGGATATTATGATGACATTGGGTGAATCTCATGAAGCCTGTCATGAATTTATCCGGCTCATATTTCACCCTAAATTGAAAAGAAATAAATCATGAATCTCATTCTCAGTTCTGCCTTGTGGAAAAAATTCAGATTTATTATTCAAACTGTAAAATATCCTCGCTAATACTGCAATCAGGTGTGTTGATTTGCTTATACAAATAAAAATGGCAGCAAAGGCCTCTAGGAAACGCAAATAAGCACATTTCTGCTGCAGGGTGTGGGATAAATCCCATGATGCTTTTCTGAATCTGTTAGCATTTGTCTTAGGGTCCTCCAGGGCCACCCGGAGAAGACGGGCATCAAGGGAAGGACGGGCCAAAGGTGAGCTTGCAGATTAAAGCTCACAGAGATGACAACGTCTTTTTTTTCAATACGCATAAATATTACATGAAAGAAATATGTCAAATGTGTCAGATTTTGCCAAATTGACTAATTTGTATCTATAGGTTGATGTTAAAGACAGTTAAGTTGATTCCTGAAATAATTGTACCCACTTATTATTGGAAATATTTTATTTTTGTATTGTTTTCTCGCTTCTTAGGGTGAGCCAGGTGACCGTGGACCAATGGGAGAAGCCGGGGAAAGGGGCGAGACTGGTGACTCCGGCCCACCGGGACTTTCTGGAGATCCTGGGAAAAAAGGCTTCCCGGTTAGTGATGAAAGAGTGATTTTTTTTAGAGTAGATATAGTTAAGCTGAAATGAAAAAGCTTCGGGTGTAAGAATTGAGCTTAGACTCCCAAGGTGGACAAGTGCAAATGTTCGTTTCTAGTGATGTTCTTGTGTTTAAGGAAATATATGTCTAATTTCATGTGTCCATTGGGTGATTCGAGAAATACAACCATAATGGTCTTAAATATTAAGTGATATAAGTTATTCCTGATGGTTCCCGAAGCACTCAAACTCAAGTTTGTATTTTCTAAAATAATATTTGATGTAGGCAAATCTATGCTTGTATGTCATTCTTTTCTTTCTGTTTCTGTTACTTTGTGATATGGACCTAATGGTCTGGAATAAAGAATTCATATAATAATAATAATATAATATAATACTTATAACATAATGCATTTGCATTTGGAACATGTTCAGGTGAAATTTCTCCAGCTCTTTAGATAATGCAAGTGTGTTGTGAGATGTTCACCTGATGATGTGAAGTTAAAGCAGATGTTTCTATGTCAGGGACCCGAGGGCAAACAGGGTCTGCCGGGCATGCGTGGACGTCCAGGAAAAAAGGTACCAGCGTTTCTGGATCAACATTAATAATAGCCACTAAAAATGCATTATATTACATCAAATCAATTAGAGCCCGACCGATAAAGGATTTTGAAGGCCGATACCGATACAAATATTTTTTGGTTTTAAAATCTGATATGCCGATATATCGGCCGATATTTTTTTATTTTTTTTATTTCAGAGAGGCGCAACAAAACATTAACAGATTTCCCTAACATCAGTTTTTAGTTATTTATGAGTTTTAACCAAAATAATATGATAATGCATTTTAAAAAGAAACTTTCTAAACGTTTCTTTTATTGTCACAACAGAACAGACTGATGATAGTGGCATTAGCTAGCTTTATGGTTGGCTAGTCTATGATGAACCATAATTTAGCAATGGATTACGTCATACTGCAAATTGTAAAACATACATTTTCAATATAACAGTTTTATTTTATTTTTGAAATATTCATTTATCGGCCATTATAACTGCCGATACCGATAGTTTGGAAAATGCCTAATATCGGCCGATAATATCGGCCTGCCGATATTAAAATCAATATGAGGAACCTCTACATTTGAAGTGCACGAGGGGAGACTGAAGTGTTGCATTGTGTCCGAAATAAAATGGACCTCAAATAGAGCCCTGTGGTACTCCTTAAGGTTTCGTTTCTTAAAACTAGTTAACTGCATACACAATGAACTACACTTCTACAGCATTTATCAGTCATTGTTATTGTTAATTTCAGCATTTATTGATGCAGAATTAAAATTTAAAGTTGTATGCACTGTGAACTGAAATGAACTAACAATATATGCAGGCGAAACTCGAAAAATTAGAATATCCTGCAAAAGTTAATTAATTTCAGTAGTTCAGCTTAAAAGGTGAAACCAATATATTATATAGACTCATTACATGCAAAGTGAGACATTTCAAGCCTGTATTTGTTATAATTTTCATGATTATGGATTTCCCGAAATTCAAAATTAGAATATTGTAAAAAGGTTTCATAAGCTGTAAGCCATAATCATCACAATTATCACCAATAAAGGCTTGAAATATCTCACTTTGCATGTAATGAGTCTATATAATATATTAGTTTCACCTTTTAAGTTGAATTCCTGAACTTTTGCACGATATTTTAATTCACCTGTATATATAATTAACTATAATCTAGCAAAACGTGTTTTTTTGACTATTTCACTGTGATGTTTTCTCATTCAGCTCATTTTAGTTAATGAGACCTTGCTGAAATGTATTACCAACTTTGTCTTGTCTTGTTTGGGACACGTCATGCTTTTTATTTTCACATTACATGCACATTGATGTCATCGTCCGCCCATGTAAATAATGTAGACCAGTCCTTCCTTTTGATATTTTCATCTTCCTCTTTGGTAGGGTGAAAAAGGTCCGCCGGGTCAACTGGGAGAACTGGGTTCGCCCGGTGAAATGGGACAGACTGGGGAGAGAGGACTGAAAGGTGCTCGAGGAACCAGAGGACCCGCAGTTAGTGTGCTTTCTTCTTTAACACGTCCCTACACTCTTTCTCAAGTCTTTTGAGCTTTAGTATGCTGTGCAAATCCCAAAGATGAGTACCATTAGTCAGCATGCTAAACAATACAGTCCGATTTAGAGAAATGGATGCACTGAATTCATTATCAAGGGTAAATTTGGGAATTTTGTGTGTAGACCCACAAATTTAACATCGTACTGCATTGTGTTGCTGTATTTGATTGCACCACTGGGGGAGTCCTAGATAGCCAAGTCAAGTCACATTTAATTGTAGCACTTTTTACAATACCGCAGCTTTACAGGAGATAACAGGAAAATAATGCAAAACAAGTTTGTGTCCAGAGGAATATAGCATCACAGTCCAGCTTAGATAATGGTGTATTATATAAATAATTGTTGCCTACACAACTACAGTACAAATGTCAGATTGGTGATAACGTTAGTGGATTGTTTTGTTGGTTAAATTGGTGTCACTCATATGTTAACGTTAGTTAAAGCATTGACTAACAGCATGCAACATATTTTCTTAAAAATGCATTAGGAAAAACTTTATTGCAAAATCAATTAGGTATTAAAAATAATTCCTGAGTTACAGAAGCGTAATAATTTCCTCAGGCTCTTCAACATGCTGAGAACGAGTTTCACGCCGATTTTACTGGATCCATTAAGGTGTGTGTAAACATTAGCAGGATTTGGAATTGAACCAAAGATTTTGATGGGATTTGCACTAATGTCGTTAGAGATACTAGGGTCTAATCCGCTTTTCTTGTACAATGCAGTTAAGCGCCTGCTGATTTGGTTGGTTTTAGGCTGGAATTTATAAGCAGGAAAAAATATCTGGGATTTAACGACACCAATGACATCTAAAAACTAGCGTCGTTAGGGAACCTAGCGTCTTGTTTTCATAAAGCGAACGCTTTTCCAAGACGACATAATGGGATGAGCAGCAGGAGTTATTTTTTAAGACGCTGTCCAATAATATGTTTTTCAGGACAACATTGCTGACAGGAAGCACTTGGGTTATTTTTAGCAGGTTATTTGGCACCAAACACAAGCTAACGTACGTGTGTGTTTTGTTCATTACCTTGCAGGGTCGACCTGGAGTTATGGGACCTCAGGGAGAGCTGGGACTGCAAGGCTACGCAGTGAGTTGCAAAAATGTGCATTTGTGAATGCTTACAAAAACAAACACTTAAACCGGCAGAAAGTTTTGGGAGCGTATCTCTTTACCGTAATTATTGATTCAGATGTCTGCCAATGAATCAGCCAAGCCTGCCTATCACCATTCAAAAAAGAGTATTACTTTGGATTAGACAAGGAAGTTATCTTTTTTTATCTTATCCATAGGGTCACATTGGCAAGCAAGGTCCAGCAGGCCCCCCGGGACCAAAGGGAGAAAAGGTTGTACAACATAATTTGATATCTTGAACAAATATCTCCGTCTAAATGTCTAATTTGGGTTAAATTAGTACATATAATGCTTATAACTCTTTGCAGTCTTTGCAAATCTGCTAAAGCAGTCAATCATATTGTGAAAGGATCTATAATTGGTTTAAAAAAAATCCATTCTGAGTTTCATTATGTGCGTTTTTTCAGGGTTACCCAGGAGAAGACAGTAAAACGCCAGGACCACCCGGGCCCTTAGGTGAACCAGTAGGTCTTAATTTCCTTTAACTTCCCGTTTTTGTTGAACATCTGGACTGAAATCACAAAATAAAGAGCCGGTGATATTTACATCTCTGTGATGAAGAAATATAACAACATATCAGTGTGTGTGTGTGTTTACAGGGCACTCTAGGAGAGAAAGGTGAACGTGGGGAGCCAGGAGATAATGGATATCAGGTTAGTGTCTCTGTATTTCATACTTTGAAAAAAAAAACATTCCTGTTCGCTAACTAGCCTATTTTTGTTCATAGCAACACCCTAGCAACCACACAGCAACATGATAAAATACTCTTAGAACAAAAGCAAGTGCATAGCAACACCCTAGTAACCATGCAGCAACATGATAAAACACTCTTAGAACACACCAGCAACTGCATAGCAACTCCCTAGTAACCACGCAGAAACATGATAAAACACTCTTAGAACACACCAGCAACTGCATAGCAACACCCTAGTAACCACACAGAAACATGATCAAACACTCTTAGAACACATCTGCAACTGCATAGCAACACCCTAGTAACCACGCAGAAACATGATAAAACACTCTCTTAGAACACATCTGCAACTGCATAGCAACACCCTAGTAACCACACAGAAACATGATAAAACACTCTTAGAACACATCAGCAACTGCATAGCAACACCCTAGTAACCACACAGAAACATGATCAAACACTCTTAGAACACATCTGCAACTGCATAGCAACACCCTAGTAACCACACAGAAACATGATCAAACACTCTTAGAACACATCTGCAACTGCATAGCAACACCCTAGTAACCACACAGAAACATGATAAAACACTCTTAGAACACATCAGCAAGTGCATAGCAACACCCTAGTAACCACACAGAAACATGATCAAACACTCTTAGAACACATCTGCAACTGCATAGCAACACCCTAGTAACCACACAGAAACATGATAAAACATTCTCTTTGAACACATCTGCAACAGCATAGCAACACCCTAGTAACCACACAGAAACATGATAAAACACTCTCTTAGAACACATCTTCAACTGCATAGCAACACCCTAGCAACCACACAGCAACATGATCAAACACTCTTAGAACACATCTGCAACTGCATAGCAACACCCTAGTAACCACGCAGAAACATGATAAAACACTCTCTTAGAACACATCTGCAACTGCATAGCAACACCCTAGTAACCACACAGAAACATGATAAAACACTCTTAGAACACATCAGCAACTGCATAGCAACACCCTAGTAACCACACAGAAACATGATCAAACACTCTTAGAACACATCTGCAACTGCATAGCAACACCCTAGTAACCACACAGAAACATGATCAAACACTCTTAGAACACATCTGCAACTGCATAGCAACACCCTAGTAACCACACAGAAACATGATAAAACACTCTTAGAACACATCAGCAAGTGCATAGCAACACCCTAGTAACCACACAGAAACATGATCAAACACTCTTAGAACACATCTGCAACTGCATAGCAACACCCTAGTAACCACACAGAAACATGATCAAACACTCTTAGAACACATCTGCAACTGCATAGCAACACCCTAGTAACCACACAGAAACATGATAAAACACTCTTAGAACACATCAGCAACTGCATAGCAACACCCTAGTAACCACACAGAAACATGATCAAACACTCTTAGAACACATCTGCAACTGCATAGCAACACCCTAGTAACCACACAGAAACATGATCAAACACTCTTAGAACACATCTGCAACTGCATAGCAACACCCTAGTAACCACACAGAAACATGATAAAACACTCTTAGAACACATCAGCAAGTGCATAGCAACACCCTAGTAACCACACAGAAACATGATCAAACACTCTTAGAACACATCTGCAACTGCATAGCAACACCCTAGTAACCACACAGAAACATGATCAAACACTCTTAGAACACATCTGCAACTGCATAGCAACACCCTAGTAACCACACAGAAACATGATAAAACACTCTCTTTGAACACATCTGCAACAGCATAGCAACACCCTAGTAACCACACAGAAACATGATAAAACACTCTCTTTGAACACATCTCCAACTGCATAGCAACACCCTAGTAACCACACAGAAACATGATCAAACACTCTTAGAACACATCTGCAACTGCATAGCAACACCCTAGTAACCACACAGAAACATGATCAAACACTCTTAGAACACATCTGCAACTGCATAGCAACACCCTAGTAACCACACAGAAACATGATAAAACACTCTCTTTGAACACATCTGCAACAGCATAGCAACACCCTAGTAACCACACAGAAACATGATCAAACACTCTCTTAGAACACATCTTCAACTGCATAGCAACACCCTAGTAACCACACAGAAACATGATAAAACACTCTCTTTGAACACCTCATCAACACCATAGCAACCACAGAGCGACATGATAGAAAAACTTTCAAAAAGCATTAGCAAATGCATAGCAACACCCCAGCAACCACACATCAACATTCTTCATACTTCATAACAACACCCTAGTAACCACACAGAAACATGTTAAAAATGACTTAGAACGCCTCAGCAATGGCATAGTAACACCCTAGCAACCGCACAGCAACATGTTAAAAAAAAAACTCAGTGACTGCATAGCAACTCCTAGCATAGTGGCGGCGACTTTGCAGTTGCAATCTCATGTTGTTTGTTCTTCTGACATTATCCTTGTGCGTGTGTGTGTTTTAGGGTCACGCAGGGGTCACAGGCGCTCGGGGAGCCCTCGGTCAGCAGGGATCTCCTGTAAGTGTGACTTTTATTGCATAACTTTCCTAACTTGGTTCCTGGAAGATTTGAACTTCCCAAGGCCAGTTTTTGCTGGTTAGTGTTGGAGCCGGGCCACGCGCCTCTCGACCAGCCTAACATCGTCACACTCCCATTGTGCAATTAAAGAGAGATGTTTTCATTATTTTCCAGGGATCTCCTGGGCTTCCTGGTGAAGCAGGGGCCAAGGGCGAGAAGGGAGTTCAGGTCAGTGTGTGTGTGTGTGTAGTATAAAACACCTGTATGATGTGATTTAAAGTTATTAATCACTTTCCGGATAAACTTGTGAGTGAGTGTGTGAGTTTTAGTGTTAAAAGTAGTATGCAGTACACATAGAGAGTATGCTAGTGTCTATAGTCAACATTACCAGTCAATGGCCGTTCACCGCTGTCATATAAAAACAATGTGTGTGTAATGATTGCAAATCCATCCTAAGCTCCTGTAAACACACTCACCGTCACATATAGCCTGAGAGAAACACACACAGAGTGTGTTTGGCCACCCAGTGCGACTGTATTCGACCGTATCAGCCTTTGCCGAGGACAGGAATCTGGTGCTTCAATAAGAGAGGATTAGAGCAGATTCTTGATCACGAATGTTTCTTTTACCTCGTACAAAACACTCTTATGCAACAGAGATTAATGAGATGTGTGTGTGTGTGTGTGTTTTAGGGACTCGCCGGTAAGAAAGGATCCCGAGGTCTCGCTGGAGCTCCAGGTCTAGAGGTGTGTGTTCTTCAAACTTAACCTCCATCCTTCCCTCGGGTCATTTTGACCCGCAAAAACCAAAAACTTTACCATAAAATAATTGTATAGTGTGTACTAGGGGTGGAGCCGAATCCGAATACGGTATTCGGAAAGGTACAAATAATGTGTTTTTTACGAATACTTATTCCGAACAAATACTTAAAAAAATATTTGTATTCGGGAACAAGAAATACTTTATATCAAAAAGCTGCGTTCCTCACGAGACGCGAGTTGAGTGACTTGAGTCAATGCGCGAGTTGAGTGAGTGACGTTCAGGAAGAGGTGACTGACAGGCTGCTCCACACAGCAACAGAGAGGGCTCGGCTGAGCGAAAAAAAAAACCACTTAACTGCATCACTATTTTTGTTTAATAGATGTTTGTACCTTAACTATGTTCCGGTGGCAGTTTATAACTTTCGGGAAGCGGAGTTTGATCGGGAGTAGGCTATATTCCATTATTGACGTCTGCAGACGGGTGCTTCATGTTCGCTCTGTTTACGTAGCTCTGTTAGCTCGGTAACGGTAATTATTTGTTTCATGGCTTGATTGAATTCCAATGTAGAATGCGGTCTGTTATTATAACAGGCCGCTGCTTATAAGTATAACACACCGTTGCTATGAAAACAGAGCGTTGCCATGGATTCTAAACGTAGAGACAGAACGGACTATTTTTCTTTTTTTAGCGGGAGCGATACAATCGTTTTTTAAATCAATAAACTCCTTTTTATATCCATATTTTGAGTCAAATTATTGATTTATTTGGTAGGTAGCCATGTAATAAGCGGGGTAATGTAGAGCGAGGCGTAGTTATAGCGAAAACCCTTCAGGCTTCGCGTCGGGCTCATAATCAACCTCCTCACTATAAATTATCCATATAACTTATTCTGTCTGCACAGCGTCCTCCACCGTGGTGTTGGGGTTCATAATGTTCACAATTGTATTTTATTAGTTGTTGGTTTAACCATGGTTCATGAGGTAATGGCTGACTGTTATTTTCTTTTCAATGACTTTTCTTGTTACATGTTCATTGCTGGATTTATAGAAAAAATCAACCAATATTGCATATCCATAATTATTATAATGGATATAATTAAAGAATCCATACACTAAGTATTTTTAAAGATTTTTATGCCTATTTTGAATTTTACTCGAATACAAATACAAATACAAATACTTTTCCTCCCTGAACAAATACAAATACAAATACAAATAGCGGCTGCTTTGCACACCCCTAGTGTGTACATGTGTGTGTGAACGCACACTGAGGTGAACTGGCTTTAGGACCCAGCAGAACAGCTCATATAGAGATATAAGCCCATCTAGAGCCATGAAATATCATGTTATTATTATTATATCTCCACAAGAGGTCAAAGACTCCCGATGTAAGATATTTAGAGCTGAATTAAAAGGGTTATGCATGACATTTTGAGATGTCACTTAAATTACTATTTATTTATTATGCATTGATTCAAACTAGTAAGTAATTTAAAGTTACAAAATGACAAAAAATCTCCCCAAGAAATTGCATTAAAAATAGAAAAAATACGATCAGAATGAAATAAAATAAGCTTTCTGGACAAAAAAACGTGAAGTGTAATTTTAGGGCCTCGGGCCGCCCCCTGTGGTCATGTGACTCTCTCATGCTTTTCACTTCCATCGCGTCTGTAGGGTCCGGTGGGTTTTCCGGGGCCCAGAGGGACAGACGGGTATCCGGGATCCGACGGGCTTCCCGGTCTTCCTGGTTTACCGGGTCTCCCCGGATCGAAAGGCCGAGCAGTGAGTGTGAAATAATCAACACACACTCGTCTATTGATACAGAGATATAGACAAACATACAGCATCTTAAACGTGTCTGAAACCTGCCTTCACATGCTCACGGGATAAAGGTTTGCTCTAGGATTTACGTTGAAACAATTTTCACTCAGAAATTGCTCATAAATCTCACAAATTATTCTAAAAGTGACACTTTGAAGTAAATGTGAAATTTTGAATGGAAAAGATTTATTATTTATAAAGAAAAGTTTAAAAAAATCTTATAAAATTCACTCAAAGAATCTTTGCAACTTACTCTTTTGAAAAATATATTTCCCTGAAACTTTAAATCTTTTTGACTGACGCTTTGATTGACGTGTGTTTCCAGGGTAACCGTGGTGACATCGGTCTGGAGGGGAGGGCGGGGCTTCCTGGCCCGCGGGGGGAGCTCGGTCTTCCAGGTGTGGTTGGAGAGAGAGGGCCAGCGGGGTTAAAGGTCAAAACTTATTCCTTCTGTTTCCCAGTTTTACCTTGATGATGAACTTAAAGGTGCAGTGTGTAATATTCAGGCGGATCTGTTGACAGAAATGCAATATAATACACATCCACCTATGTGTTCAGTGGTTATATATAATGAGGCGTTTCTCTCTACACACACCGCGGGTCACTTACACTTACATCCACATGTTTCTACGGTGGCCCTGAGCGGACAAACGCGTTTCGTCACTATGTTGTTCTCAGTGTAATGAAGCTGCGAATAAAACACTGACACAATGATGGACAAGTGACAATAATATTCGCAATAACATCGTTTTACTGAATAATTAAGTAAACCTAATTTCATATTTAATCTTTGTAAAGAAACATCATTGTTTAACTGGCTACTCTCTGCTGTCTCAGAAAATTGACATCACTTCCTGTCAGCCACTGTAACTTCTGTTGGGTGCAATTCACTACCTCACCACTAGATGCCGCTAAAAAGTACACACTGCACCTTTAATGGCTAAAGTGTGCAGTAAACTGGGTGAAAGACCAGATCTCACAATGCAATGATGC